CTGACCTCTGGCGCAGTATAACATTTAAAAACCTAGGACCTGCAACTAAAATACCATCAGAAGACCAAATTCCGATTGCTAGAAATGGTGTGCGGTACGGAAATAATAACCACTACCAAACCCAAGCAAGCAAACCCCCCAAAATATAATATTAACTAAAAGAGAACAGCCACCCAAAGACCTTGATAACAGCATTATCCTTTCTGGCTCAACAGATTATATCTTTGTCATAATTAGCTTACACTTTCTAACCGTGACCACCCCCAGTTCTTTAACCAAGATGGCCCATGAACGTATGGCACTGATGATCCTAAGAATAAGAGATGAGATGCAATTGATGTCTCATCTCCCACAGTTCCTGGCCTGCTGTTAGCAAATCGTCATCACAATCACCATCTGGAGCTGCAATGGAGTCTACAAATTTTGATCTGGTAAAAATGTGGGAAAGCATTCACGCCGGAAAGGAGGAAAAAGAGAGAGAGAGAGAGACAGAGAGAGAGAGACAGAGAGAGAGAGAGAGAGGAGAGAGAGAGAGAGAGAGAGACAGAGAGACAGAGAGAGGAGAGAGACAGAGAGAGAGAGAGAGAGGAGAGAGAGAGACAGAGAGAGAGACAGAGAGAGAGACAGAGAGACAGAGAGAGAGAGGAGAGAGAGACACAGAGAGACAGAGAGAGAGACAGAGAGACAGAGACAGAGTCAGAGAGACAGAGAGGAGAGAGAGAGAGAGAGAGAGAGAGAGAGAGAGAGAGAGAGAGAGAGAGAGAGAGAGAGAGAGAGAGAGAGAGAGAGAGAGAGAGAGGGAGAAAGAGAGAAGCACCAGCAGCTACACAATGCAGTTCATTTATCTTATGAACTGGAGCTGAATGTCCCTGCGTTAGAAGAGGTGACATCAGCTGGCACAAGTAGCCAAAGAATGTCCAACTTGGTAGTGGCCCTCCAGTGTCCTTAGAAGTCAGGAGAGCCGCATAGCAGCAAAAAAAAAAGGAGAAAGAATTTGTTATTTGTTTCTTGTCTCTCCAGAACATCTGTGGCTTTCTTGAACGACTCTTTAAAGACATTGCTCTCATGAAATCCTAAAAAAGAGGAATCAACAGGTCGATGTAGCGATTGAAAACTATATTCTGCATAGTTTGGACAACAGGTTCTGGAGCCTTTCCACCTCAAGACTCACGTTTCGCCCTCTGAGGTTGTGTTTCTCAAGTTCAGCAAGTTTAAGAGGTATGGATTTCAACTCCCAGAATTCCCCAGCCAGCATGCTGGTTGGGGAATTCTGGGAGTTGAAGCCCATCTCTCTTAAACTTCCGGAAATTGATAAACACAACCCTAAAAGCTGCTCTTATTGGTATAATTCTACAAATTGGTAAATACCCAGAAACCAAAGCTTGTTGGGAAGTGGGTCAGAGTGGATTTTGCCTTCCTTTTCATTTCATTTTTAGAAAGGAATATTAATATCCCGTTTTATATCACGCAGAAACAGCTTATCCACAGCCAAGGAAAAGAGGCATTTGAGAAGATGTTTGCAACCAAATAGCTTCACTAGGAAAGAGGCCAACCTCTTTTTATAGAATCAGAATTAAGCCATTTCTTCAATAAATAAATAAAATCCTTCCTATTCTCCTAGATCCTATTAAAGGAAGGATCGGAAGTACACATTTGATTATTTCTCAGATGAACTGTTTTCTTCCTACAGCAAAAAGCTCTCAGAACAACTCAGAATAAAAACTCAAGTAAAAACCAAAGGAATTAAAACAAAGCAAAGTTACATTTTGGGCAGGATTTAAAAGCAACAGAATCTTACTACATTTAGGAAAGCACCTTAATATTTGGATTTATGTGGATGCATGAACTTTCTGACTTCCCTTGCAGCAAATATAAAATTTAAAAAGTTATCTCTTACTGTATGATTATAAAAAAGGTCCACTTTCTTCTATTGTCAATTTTTCCTTCCTAATCATCAAAACCACAAGTGCATTTTTGTTCTGTTTTGTGCAAAATGTCTATAAGAGGTTTCCAGGCAGTCCACAATGTAAATATGACCTTTTCTCTAATCAAGGAAGCCAATTTAACTATCTCAGCAAATTCCTTCATCTTCACCTACCATTCCTCCATTGTGGGTAATGTGAAACTTTTAAATATATAATAATCTTGTTGCAGTTGTCGTATCTTGTTCCAGCTGAGCTCAACATAGATACGTATGTCTCTGTACCTTCTTGGCAACAATACAGAAGTGGTCTGCCATTTGCCTAAATTTGTTTTTTTTCCTCTTCTCAATCTAGCTACAGACCTGGATTTTTCCTGGGGTACCCATCCAAGCACTAACCAAGCCTGAGCCTGCTTAGCATTGAAAACAACCAAACTTGGCTAGGTGACATAACCGTCTAGCACAGGGGTCTCCAACCTTGGCAACTTTAAGACTTGTGGACTTCAACTCCTAGAATTCCTCAGCCACCTTTGCTGGCTGAGGAATTCTGGGAGTTGAAGTCCACAAGTCTTAAAGTTGCCAAGGTTGAGGACCCCTGATCTAGCATATGTGTCTCAGGATCTTTGTTATATTAGAAACACATCCAGAGAAGTCCTTGTAACTCAGTGGTTCTCAACCTTTTTAATGCCGTGACCCCAACCGGTCATAAGTCGAGGACTAAACCGGTCGTAAGTCGAGGACTAAACCGGTCATAAGTCAAGGACTTTCCCTGCCCGGGAGCGCCGCGCATGCGTGGTTCCGCCACCTGCGCTGGCCGAGGCGTAGCTGGCAAGCGGCAGAGACAGAGCAGGCCGACCACCAGCTGGCCCAGCCCAAGGGAGGTAAGGCACCTGCCGGAAAAGGGGAAAAAATGGCGGACAAAAAAATGGCGGACAGCCTTGCTTGGTGACTCCCGTGAAATGGTCGATCGACCCCAAATGGGGTCCCGACCCACAGGTTGAGAACCACTGTTGTAACTTAACATCTCTGAATCAGGAAACCCAGCCGTGTTTGGTCTCCTGGTTAAGGCACCAGGCTAGAAAGTGGGAGACTGTGAGTTCTAGTTTCACCTTATCCATGAAAGCCAACTGGGCGGCTTTGGGCCCCTCACCGGGAGATGGTGAGTTCTAGTCCTGCCTTAGGCACAAAAGCTGATTGGGTGACTTTTGGCAAATCACCAAGGGGCAGTGACTTCTAGTCCCGCCTCAGCCATGAAAGACAGTGGGATGACTTTGGGCCCATCACCAGCAGAAGGCGAGTTCTAGTCCCTCCTTAGCCATGAAAGCCAGCTGGGTGACTTTGGGCCAGTCATTCTCTCTTGCTCCAAGCCAACTTGGGGTTGAGTTTTTGTTGCTACTGAAGATAGGAAGAAGAAGATGTTTTGGAAACGTTCACTGCCTTGAGCTGTTGGTAAAAATAATAAGGGCAGGATACAAATCAACAAACAAAATAAATAAATCTAGCACTGTTTGGTTTCTGGTCTTCCTAGCCTCAATGCCTCTCGGCCAATAGATTTTGAAAACTGGAAATCCCACCTCATTGACGCCATGCAAATTTGGCCCACAAAGAAGGGCCCCTCTGCAATCTTCACGAATATTTACCTTTCCTTATCTAAAGATAGTGATTCCTGTTTGCGGGGGGAAAAGATCACAAGACACACATACCACCAGCAGCCACTGTCCGTCACTGGAGCTGACACCCACTCGGCCTAGTCTTTGGAAAACGATCATGTCTGGATTTCCAACGGAGTGGAGTGTATTTTTTGGGGGGCATTTGGTAACCTGTGCCATATTTTCTCCCCACCGTTTTTTTGACACTTCCCCAAATTATCCCACCCTTTTCTTGAGCACCAGTAGAGCAAAATCTTTCTCAGATCACCCCATCCCCCACCCTAGAAGCCCACACCAAACACAAAAGTACACTCAGGGTAAATCTCTTGGGATGGGAAAAGTTTAACCCTGCTTTCTCTAAATCTACGGCTACGGGATCGTGCTATTTACAAATACACAGGCACACACCTTTTCTCTCCAACATACTAAGGTATACATTTATAAGTATGTACAGGCAGAGAAAGCCTGCAGCACACCCATTTGCACAATCAAACCGGTTAGTCCTAGAGGAGATCAACCCTGACTGCTCTTTAGAAGGCCAGATCCTGAAGTTGAAACTCAAGTACTTTGGCCACCTAATGAGAAGGAAGGACTCACTGGAGAAGAGCCTAATGCTGGGAAAGATGGAGGGCAAGAGAAGAAGGGGACGACAGAGAATGTGGTGGCTGGATGGAGTCACTGAAGCAGGAGGCGTGAGCTTAAATGGACTCCAGAAGATGGCAGAGGACAGGAAGACCTGCAGGAACGTTGTCCATGGGGTCGCGATGGGTCAGATGCGACTTCGCAACTAACAACAAACCTCTCCCCCCAAAATACACATCCATGTACAATTTCCTTCTCGCAGGCAACATACTACCCTCCCCTGATCTGCAAGACCAGTTCTCTGACCTACAAGGTACTTTTATTTATTTTTTAACAGTTTATTTGAATCGTCCACCTGGCTGTGCACCCATTTTAAGACAGGCACCCCAGCCCACCCAAGGGAGGGAGGGAGGGAGGCAGGCACCTTCAACCTCGGTACGCAGACAACCTTTTTTTTTTTTTTTTTCCCACGCACGCCTGCGCAACGGAGGATGCGCTGGCCATACGGTGCGCTCCGTGTGTCCCGGGAAGGGGAGGGCAGAGGAGGCGAAGAAAGCCGGTCCAGGGTCTCCGGAGCGTTTCCCTCCCCCGCGCCATCTCCCCCCCCCCACCAATTCCCGAACTGGGGAATGGTGCTGATGCTGAAGATGCTGGTGCAAAACGCTGCCCGGCTCTGGATCGCAGCCTGGCAGGGGAAGCCGGGCGCGGCGAGCCCCCCCCCACCTTCCTCAAAGCGACTAGTCGGTTAATCGTCAGCCTCAGCCGCCCCCTCCCCCTCCTCCTCCTCCTCCTCTTCCTCCTCCTCCTGGCGGCCTGGGCACCGCGGGCCTCCCCGCGCCCGCCCTTACCGTGAACGGGGTGTCGTCGACGCTGCCCACCGAGTAGCAGTTGTCGCCCGGGTTGACGGCGCCGGTGAGCACCTGGTGCAAATGCATCGCGCCCGGCCTCGCTCGCTGCCAGCCAGGCAGGCAGGAGCCGGGCAGGGCGCCCTCTGGCTTGCTCCGCTCCTTCTGCGCGCAGAGAAGGAGGAGGAGGAGGAGGA